GACGTGAAAGGCTAGTTAAAATTTCACTTTCTCATTTTATTTATGAGAGCCGAGCTTTTAATTGGAGGTCATTTTTGCTTTTTTTCAAGATTTTGCTTTTTTTCAAGATATATGGGATTGGTAGGTACTTAAATAACTAGACTTTTTCAAGGTACAAGTTGTTTTTCTTTGTATAGGCTCAGTTTATCTTTATTTTTAAAATGTTTGTTTATATGTTTGATTAAATATTTTCATAATGATTTACAAATTGTATATTACACAATAAGAAGATGATTGATTGAAAATGTCTAAACCATTTTACTCTATATTTCAAACAGTAGTGTCTGATAGTCTGCCATGAGGCCAAGAGGTCAAAGATAAAAGAAGTATGATTTACCGGATTTGCTGATCGGTGTTACCCCTGCCACTAATTGAGCTGGAGGTTTGTCCATTGTTTAGCGTCCTGTGTTTTATTTTGATGTGTCTTTGTTTCCTGTTTCTTTGTCTTTCTTGTATCTTCCTACTTCTTATTGTGGCGGCCTTTTCAGTTTCCCCTGTGTTCCTCTTGTGTCTTTGTTTTCCTCACTTCTCCTCAGTTTTAAGTGTTTATCTTTATCAACTAAACTCTCTTCACCTGTGATCCCTGTTTCACTCCATTCAGTAATAAAAAAGAAAACTTTGAGAACTTATGACAAGCTGCAAAAATGCATGCATCAAGAAATGATTATAACTTTCCTTGTTATTCTTGTAAACCAGGTCTCTAATGTAACATATAACCCATTTAAAATATATCAATAAAAATAATTTGTTGTAACAGATGTGTTACCCATCCGGAAACTACAGTCTCCTCTAAAATTTTCAATAAAATAGTTATGGTGTATACTAACAGATCAAGTGTCAGACTTAGATTTTAAATAACTTTATTCTGTAACAATTCTTACATGTGTTTTTATGAAATGCAAGCATGGTTTCTGTCTATACAATTCCTCTTTGAATAAAAATTTTCCTTTTCAAATGATATTGGGTTGCTTTTAAAACAAACATCTGAAATGATCTATTTACAAAAATCCGTGATTACCACAATTAGAGTGCGTTTTGACTGGGTGCTCGCCCCAAAACGAGAAAATACTTTATTCCATTTATATTTGTTTGCTTGGTACAAAATATCTTGCTTTACAATTTCAATCAAATCTTTTAATTCCATCTACATATCGCTAACAACATGGGAGTATATACAGGGGGTGGGGAGGACTGGTGTCATGTGATCTGATGTGGAGCTTCCAGCATCTCCATTAGGAAGGTGTCGATAGGCGTGTCCCCTATTAGCTTGAAGAAGAACAGATGCTCCAGACACTTGAGGCCAATAGAGCGAAGGGCAGGCAGGCGAAGCAGCAGTTTGGCAAACCTAAAAATAATGACAGGGAAAACAAATATTTACGTGCTTATTGCTTTAAAACGAGCCTCCTACTAATTTCTTAATGGAAATGTTCTCAATGTTTTAACGAGTACCACTATAAACCAAATATTTACATTCAATATTCATTTTTTTAACTTTTTTGTTTTATTAAGGACACTACATGCAAGCAATTATATCTGAATTAGCTGGTAATGTTACACTTTTGTCCTACTTTGCTTTGACTGAATACAATTAAACGTATAATATATGAGTATTTGTATTGTTATATGATCTATAAGATATGGTACCATATATTGTATTATGTGTTATGAATTAGAGGAAATTATTGTTGCCACTATCTGTGCCAAACTAGTGTGTTATGAATTTAATGCTCCTGTCATGTCAAAGTATCACTTATGTAAGAGGTGTTTAGTAAATTGTGACCCTTCATTAATGTACATCCCGAGCAGCATTAAAAAGTGTTTTTTTTTTTTATCATCATGGTTTACAATATGATATAATACAATTTCTACCTGCCAGGCTGATCTGGGTACTTTTGTTTTGTATATGCCTCCAGTGACGCATAGACCCTTTCCCTTAGTCCCTCCACCTCCGAAGGGTTTGATAACCCTTTCGCGTCTGGAACAAAAAAAAAGACAAACACCAGTACATTTGAACCCTGACATTACATTACACCGGTAAGAATTAGACAGCAGAGTTATTGTCAAATGACTGACCTGGGTTAAAGAGGACGATAGCTCGCAGGCAGCCAAGCTCTGTCTTGTCCATCTGCATATCTTTCATTTTGGAAACTAGTTCTGTTAGTACTCTGCAGAAAAATTAAGATCAACATCACATTAATCATCATTTCATATACAAGAACTGCAGTCAGTATAGTATTGAAGATAAAGATTCATAATTATCCAACAGAGTGTGGATAATTGTATAACAAGATCTAAGATTGCCTTAATAACTTTGTTGGCAATGTAAACACTGGTGTGTGTGAAATGTATGTGAAATAGTTATGTTATAGTAACTAAAGAAAGACCATTGATTAATGTTCCCATTATTTAGTCTGTACCACCATGAATAATTACTAAGAACAGGCTTTGTGATCCATTTGTAACAGTGAGTGCTGTGGCTCTCGGCTCATGTTTCCAGCTTCTTACCTGTCGAAAATGGATCCCACCCCTGCACTGTGGGCGCTGCTTCTGTGCACGTGAAGACCTGTTGCCAACAGTATCCCATCTTTAACTGTGACTGATCGATGGGAGAAAGAGGCAATGAGCAGTTCATTCCAGCCTGGGTGGAGATTTACAAACAAAAAAAAACAACATAAAAAACAGATGATTAATTCAATATTTTTTGTGATTTGTCCATCTTGTCAGCTTCACCACAAAGGCTCTTCCTGACTGAGGCTAAAAAGGTTTGGACAGATTTTATTTAGGGTAAATGTTGCAAGTAATGTGTGCTAAAAACAACAAATGCCATTTGCGTGCCTTAGCACGCAAGCATCCTCCAAATCGCTCTCCTCCTCTATGAACTGTAGCGGCTGTTTTCCAGTTCTTGGTGGTTTTCCCAACATTAGAAATGCGGGTAATGAAACACACACACTGTGACACACAAATACAACAATCTCACGCTATTCTCTTGAAAAAAGAGAATAAACACAAGTCTTTCACTCGCCCCTCGTCTTCCATTAAAGTTGCATTTTCTGTCTATATTGTCATATATTGGCAGAAAGCACACATTTCCAGCCTTGGAATTTTTCAAACTGAGTAAACTTTGACAGAATGACAGTAATAATACTTTGGTATTATTATGTGGCCTCTGGTAGGGTTAAGACTTTCACATATGGGCAAGTATGTGAAATCTCTCACCAGCAGAGGTCAGCACTGGAGCGACTGCAGACTGCACTTTTGGGACTAGGCAAATAGTCCAGTTATATTTGGTGTCACTGCTCCATTAAACTAGATGGCAAAAATGTGTTGAGCAAATGTAAAAAACTTAAATAGAAGGCCCAACTGGGAATCTGAATCTATACTACATGACCATGAGGACACAGGGTTACAGAGAGGGCTGTTTTGAGATACTGATCTATGAGCATTCTTTTTAACCTAATTAGCTTTCCAAGCAGAAATTAATGTAAACATATCCATGTGCTGCATGCATGAGCTTGTGTTTTTGAGCATACCTGCTCGTAGCAGGATGACCTGATCATCCAGAGGGAGTTCAGAGAAGTGCGGGATTCTTTTTGCCCACTCGACCAAAGTGAAGAGTTGCTTATCTGCGGCTTGGCAGATATTGGTGACAGGGTCATTGGTCTTGGTAGGGACAAAAAACGGAGAATGCCAAAGCAGTACAGTTATAACTGTTGTACCTTATCCCTCAGTGATGTCTAAAGTCACATGCACATTCAATAAGCAGGTTATCAATATCTTAACAGTATAAATACAGACTAAATGTTGTCTCACGAATAAGACAAACTATTAGTTTTAAAAAAAAAAAAAGTGTATGGTTTTCTTGTGAGTGCTAGTTTTCTGTCTCGAAAAGTCCCAGTAATTCCATGAAAATTTGGGTTAGGGTTAACCCTGATAGGTTTTGGCCAAACAGACAAAGTGATCCTTACAGAGTTTCCGGCGCCACAGTCACTGTATGTGTCTGTTTTGGGCTCCACAGCCAACTCAGCATCCAGAATCTTGTCCACAGGCATGTCTTCATTGAAACTGCTGGTAGATTCCACTTCGCTCTCTCCGCGCTCCTTACCACGTTGCCTCTCCTCCTGCACAGCTACACCCACAGACGCAGACAAATATTTAAGGTCGCACATCGCTCGAAGCCCATTTACAATTCAGCAACTATCAGAAGTGTACACTGTCGTTAAAGAGGTCCCCGGTCTGCCTGGAAACAAGAACAGGTCACCCTACCCCAAACCTGATCTCTGATGGGTAAAGGAGTGTATGCATTACACAAACTTGAAAAAGCTATAAGGCTTCAGACAAATTTATTTTTAGAAAAAGCCATTTTTCTTTCCTTCTCCCCTTTTTAAGACATATTTCTAATAGAGATTTGTCTTAAGTATTTAGTGAAGAAACCGATAACCTGTTGTTGTAATTGTAATATGGAGCCTGATTCGCAGTATTGGGGCTCCACCTCAATCCATTACTACAGTGTAATAGAGCTTTATCTTTATTTTATTTGCACATTGGACCGAACATTTTTTTTTAAGTCTATGCTGCTACAAAGCTCAGACTTAACCTCCTGAGAACCTGTGTGTTCATATGAGGACATTGCATTTTTACCTCTTTTTACTATGATACTTTTTTTTTATTTGGACTTTGACATCTTGGCCTCATAGTCAGACACTACTGTTAGAAATCTAAAGTAAAATGATTTAATACATTTTCAACCAATCATGTTCTTATTGTGTGATTAAAATTGTGTAATCAGAACCAAATTGCAAAATAATTTCATTAAATATATAAACAAACATTTTAAATGTAAAGATAAACCCATTGAGCCTATACAAAGAAAAACTACCTGGACCATGACAAAGTCTATTTTCAAACCTATTAGGTCCTACTGATCCCAGATGTCTTGAAAAATGAACACCAAATAAAAGCTTGGTTCTCAGGAGGTTAAGTTGTCTTAGGTTATCTTAAGTTTGAATAATACAGCTAAAAGCAAAAACACCACTTAAACAGTGACATACTGACTTCATATAGGCTTTTAATTTAATTAATCAATTTTCTTATGATGCAATGCTTTATCTGTTTAAAAAAAACTACTCATATAACAGACAGATTGAGCTCATGATGACTTACTCAGACTCCTGATGCAAAATTACAAATATTCTTTGTCCTGATTTATCGTTTTTCTTTTTAATTCACAAACCAAAACATTCACTTAGCAGGAAATAAATATGAATGATTTCCTTCACTCACACGTGTACGTACACACACCTTCTCTCTTCATGCCCATAGCCAGGCACTTCTGGTAGCGACAGTACTGGCAGCGGTTTCGCTGGCGCTTGTCTATCAGGCACTCCTTGTTGTCTCGACATGTGTAGGTGAGGTCTTTGCGGACGGTCCTCTTGAAGAAGCCTTTGCAGCCTTCGCAACTGTACACTCCATAATGCTTTCCTGTGTAATGTAAAACCCACCACAAGCCACCCTGCTTTGAACCACCACTATGCATGTGTTACACAGTACATACAGTATAATACAGAATGTGTGGACTGAACATTTCATTTTGGTTACATCTATGAACTGATCAAAATCTTATTTCATATTGTGAATAAACTGAAATTAAAGATCTCTCCAACCAGAAAACAACTAAAAAAACCTGACAAAATTCTTCATATCCTTGTCTTTTGTGGCATATTGGGCAGGAAATGTCCTGTACCTGTCATTATCCACCATCAACACCCTCCGACATTACCTGAGGAACGGTCCCCACAAATGGCGCAAATATGCTTTGACATTCCTCCGGGGCTTGTGCATTGGTAATTGATGTTTCCTAGATTCTGTAGGCCAGGTGGAGGTTTGATGTCCTCTGAGCTGCTAACACCGTTCATAGAGTTCATCTGAGGATGATAAGAAGAGAGAACGAAAAATTGTGACCAGGTTGGCCGGAGCTACGCGGAGCAGAGCAGAAGAGGAAGCACAGAGGAAGTGGAAAGTCTCAAACAGTCTCATGACACTCTCTCCCTTTCCTCTATTTTTTTTCATTTTGTCTTGATCACATTTTTTTTCTTCACCCACATACTTAGTTGTGAAAGCGTCTTCGCACATGATCACATGCTCAGTCGGTGGGAGGGACTGAGGCCTCTGTCTGAGTCTTGACAAAATGTTTCTTTATTCTTTTCTCTTTTTTTGCTTGTGGGAAAGAGACACAGAAAACAAATCACATATGCAATCAGTGCACTTGTCAAAGCCAACAACAGAGGATGCTCATTATCATAGGTGAGTTCATAAGACAAAAAAATAATAATAAAACTGGTAATAATGACTTGGATTGACTTTTGTGAAAGACTGAGTAATATGTCTTTTACACTGAGTATACCCTTTAATGGCGTAAACATTACAGCAATGGGGGAAGACATAAAGATGTTTTTCCTCTAACTTTTCTGTGATGCTGCCACTATCATATACTGGGGATCCCTTGAACGTGGGGAACACTTAAATGAAACATCAACCCCTCCTGATTCGCTGATCAGTGAGTCAGTGGTTGACAGCAATTCCACTTCTGTGTACACTATTGTTGTAACAATGATTACTTATTTATGGACTAAAAAAGTAAGTCTTTCCAATCTGCCGCAAAGACAAGATGCAGCTTCAGACAGCAAACTGCTGTAGAAAAGGGCTACAAGCATGACATATAGATTATTGATGCATCATACATTCTTTATTTAGCACATGGAAGAAAGAGCATACCGCCCCTTAAATGCAAGGTTTATTTTAGCCTTTAGCAAGCATCACTGTATAGTGAAAAATCATGCATTTGTATCATTCAACTTTTAAGTTTGTGAGAGAAGGAAAATCTGTTTTAAGTTTGACCACAACATACAAAATTATAGGCACAATTGGTAACAGTAATAGAATGCGGAGCTGGAAGATGTAATCAGTAATCAGTTGTGGTGATTTAAATAGAACTATTATAACTGATGAGTTAATCTTAAAGAATCACAGATTGATCACTTGTTAAAGAACTTATTCATTATCTGGACCCACAAACTTGAGAAAACTAGGAAGTTCTCCTTATCCTAAAACTCAAAGAAGCTGAGTAAGGGGTTTAATTAATTCAGCTAAATGAAGTTCTATTCTATATCAGGAAAATAATTTAATAATAGATAGAAAGCTGACAACGCTTGCCTAAATAACTGGCATTTCTGACATTAAAGTCAATTTTTTTCATTTAACCAAAAATAGCATTTTGTGCTTATAATGTGTAGTTCACAATGATACCTCTGAATCTGTCAAGAGGAATTTTGTGGCAAACTAATTCTGAGCAAACTCCATGCACAATTTAAATTTTAAAGGGGTTCCTCCTCCCTTTTCCATAGATGTTCAGTTTGACTAATGTAAGAACTTAAAAGGGTAATTTAAGTGCATTTTAATCTCCTCTTTGACTGTGTGTTTGGTCTTTTCGGTGAACCCATAATGTGAAACTGAGGTTGAGCTTCCTGAAAATTTGCAGTATGCCTCGCAGCAGTTTTCTTTCTAGGATGACTCTTAAATTCATACCATGATTGAGATCACATATCACTGACTGATGTGCCCTGCAGTCCAAATGCTAACAAAGGAAGCCACCTTTGTTAGCATATGGGGTTCTTTATATAGGTCTGATCATAAAAGTACTTGTGAGTTTTGCGGATCATGCAACTGACCTCTTTAAGAATACATTTCCATTAGCTATCTCTCTCTACTGGTCAATTGGGCCACGTGAATAATAGTGCAGTCATGTGTAAGTTGCCATTCCTGAATCTGAAAATATGGAACCTCTGAAAGTAGCAACATTTGGACTCACACACTTCTATGTTGATGGGAACATCTGGTTTGTTTGGTTAGATAAGCAGTTAAAAGGGAAAAAACTGCATAGCTCCCCATCTTTTCCCTGTCTACCCGTTATCCATTAAAGGGCTGATAGTGGGGATGAGAGTCGTCTCCTTCTGCATGACAGTAGCAATTCAGAATGCGACAGTAACCTTTAAAGCTGGTAGTTTAAAGGTCAGCAGAAAGATAGAAGTGAGAAGAAAGGGAAGAGAAAAGGGATGCCATCCAATCAAATTAGATCTGCCTAACCATCAAAATGAGTGTTTGCTGTAAGAGATTACAACCAAGAGACCAAAAGAGGTCATTGTTTGCGGCCTTGCAACCTGCAGCTGTAAGTTTACTCAAACTAAACTGATAGCTTTGAGAGGGCATGGGTTAGAGCACATGAAAACCAAGAGTCTAGAGCACTTTTTACAGGTTCTTTCCCAACCCCCTGGTTGCTGCCAAGTGGTGCTGTACCAGGGAGTGTATGCTTTTTTTTGTTTTGCCTATGTGGATGATTAAGCACACTTGACTGTGGACGGGACTGGGTCTGAGCCTTGGTGCCCTCTGACCGGCTCATGCTGTTCCTGGCTCGGAGGGTCAGGGTCGGGGGTGATCGGGGCTTTCCCCCTCCTTGCCTTTACTCACTGCTTGCAAACTTGCCCAGTCTGGGTTAATGGGGCACATTGCTGGGGGCGCCGGGGTGTGTGCTGGCCTGCCCAGGTTAGGTGTCCTCACTTGTCTTCTGCCCATAGGCCCCTGTGCTGGTTACTGGAGAGGGGCTCACGCATGGAGCGCTCTGGGTTCTGCAGCTGGCTCATGCTTGGGTGGCTGAAACCTGGATGAGTTGGTGGGGTATCACCTCGGCTATCCTCTGCTGTCCTCTGGATGGATTTGGGTATCACCATCCTGGTTCTGTCTGGCTTCTGTGCTCAGTGGGGCTACTGGTTTCCTTGGTCTTGAGGTTCTCTTTGCTTACTCCTGATCCCTGTAAAGAGGGTGATGGTGGCTCTCTGCAACAACCTTCACTGAGCACAATCTATGTAAGACCTACACCATGTGTCTCGTTCTCGAGTGATGACAGGTTGGAGCTGGAGATGGACAGAGAGGCTGGGGCTTCGTCAGCTGTGATGAGGAGCCTTGCTCTGTTGTGGTGCAGAAGGAGCTGAGCAAGAAAGCAACCGTCAACTATGGTGCCGAGGTTTGGATTGTAACCAAAAGAACCAGACTGGGAATACAAGCAACAGGCAATGGTTTCCTTCAAAGGGTGGCTGGGCTCAGCTTTAAAAACAGGGTAAGGAGCTTGGTCATCCAGAAGACAAGGTGGAGACAGAATGATTATATATCCCGTCTGACCTGGAAAAGCCTTGGGATCCCCCAGGAAGAGCAGGGAAGTATAGCTGTGCTGAGGGATGTCTGGGTTTCCCTCCTAAACCTGTTGCCTAACCTTGGATAACCATACGAAAAGGATGGATAGATAATTTTCTTTGTATATCTGTCCTTTTTTGTTTTCTATTCCTCTACCTTTGGTTTTCATGTTCCTGTCTCCCCCGGTTATGTTTAGCATCAAAGTACACATAGTACCATAACAGCAATAAAACCAAAGGGGTTACACTTTAAGGGAGGCTTTCTAGGTATAAAACTTCCCTTGTTAAAAAAAAATTGTGTTTGCCATAACTATGGCAGCCAGAGCATTATGCTCCTCATAATGATGGACAAGAAAAAGGAAGGGGGGAGTAAAATATATTTAAGTCAGTTTCAGTAGAGAAAAGGATTTTAAAAATAGCTATTGTCTCGCATTCTTCAACCACCCACACATGTTCTCACCTGTGGGCTGCTGAGAGTTCCAAAGTTCATGTTAGGAGTAGACTGCAGCGATACAGAGGGCGAGCCCAGAGATGATGTGATGACAGGATAGGGTGATGCGAGGCCATTCATGGGCGAGCCCAAGCCGGACATGGGGGGCGGCAAGTGCCTGGAGGCGCTAATGACTGATGGGTGGCCCACCATGCTGCTCATTGGAGGGTGGCTATGGGTAGCACTCATCTGTCCAGTGGAGTCTGAGGGAGAAAGAAATGTGTGTTTAAAAGAAACAGCACATAAAAGTCAAAATAGTTATTTCTACTTAGCTTCACCTACACTACAAGAAAATGTCTGCTAGTTTTGAATAGTTTTATCCGGTATGATATTGGAGCGTTCTCGATGAAAACAGCTGTTGAAAGAGAAGAAAAACGCATTTACCATCAATCGCTTCTACTCTTACATTGAGCCAAAAGTGCTCAACGCTTGCAAACTGTATCAGTAGAATTAGGTTTTCTAAAATAAAATAAAAAATTGATCCTTTCAAATACCAGCTACACATCCACCTATCACCAAGTGATGCCCATTTGTCCAATTTGAATGTATGTGACATGAGAGGGAAACCGCTGTTGCATCAGCAATGTATTCCAAGTAACAGAGAGGCCAATATGTGTTTATCAACCAAAACTTTTAGGGTGCTGATAGATGTTGAAAAATGGACATTGCTGACAACTTAGAAGAGTTTCCTGAAAGTTACACTGACAACTTTTAGCATTAAACATAGAAGAAAGCACCATGTAAACATAGTTTTGAGTAATGAGAAGAAGTTGAGTGGTAGTCCAGCAGGTGGCAAAAAACATCTGCAAACATCAGCCACGAGAACCGTAAGATAATAAAACTACAATTAACACCCACCCCGGTGGGATTTTGTTTTTGCTCTCAGTGTCAAGTAACGAAAAGTGCATATTATGAAGCCTATCTGATTTTGGTCTCACAGCACTGACGTTGTTTTGCATGTATTGATGCAAACTGACAGGCTGGCATTTACATAGATGACCTACTTAGAAAAGCTGTCTGTCATCTGCGTAACGGGGCATGGTATGTCATTTCATGCATGTGTTGTAGCTATGAGCAACACAAATTACACACACACAAACACACACAAACAGGATGTACATGCTATAACCAACGTGTGGTGTACAAAACCAAGCGCCACTGGCTATCACAGGGCAACATCACGTCTCTGTGCCGATGTTGTTGACATTGAGAAATTATTACAAATGTGTCCTGTTGAGCAAGATGTTACTGATAAACAATGGCATGCCAGTGCAATCATATAAACACTTGGAACAGCCTGTGAAAGCTTCCGCTAAGTCACAAAAAAAAAAGTCATTAACACATCAACAGTGTGAAATTGGGCACAATGCTGCATGTTTGTTGTATGTGCACGTGTGTTAGTGAGCAAAGGCGTGCCGTTGTACAATGGTAAGGCAACACAATGAAAGACATCTGTATTTAAATATATTATGAGCCATACAAGTATTTTCTTCTTTACTTTGCTGTTGCACATAGAAACAAATCCATAAACTTGTTTTTCAATGGAATATTTTTGTTTTTTTTTAATGGTAGAATAATAAAATCCTCTGTATCCCCTTGAGCATACAACCACACGAAGAATAGATGTTGCAAACGCATCTTAAAAGGTTCCTGAAGAGGAACATGTAAAAAAAAAAGTGCATGTTTATGTTCATGCATTTAGCAGATGCTTTTGTCCAAAACACTTACAATCCAGGTACAACATTACAGTTAACAGCAAAGATAACAATACGCAACTCTTGTCAGATGACAGTGGTTACAGTGTAAAGAGTGAATGTACAGAAAGAGAAAGTGCAATAGAGGAGCTGTAGAGGTGTAAGCATTTGATTTTGTACAAGCATTTCATTTACTTAACTAATTCAATTACAGATTCTCTTTCTGGTTTTAAGCTTATTGCATTGAATATATTTAGATAACCTTCTTTATATTTTCGGGGGTCTTATGTACAAAATGTGATGATTTGGTAATTTTACCAAATTTGATCACTTCATTGGCCTTGATTTTTTTAACACTTAAGGGCAAGTTACCAAATATGGTAACTTCATTGACCTCGATTTTCGACATGAAAATAAAAAAAATTGAAAAATGTAACAAATGTAATGAAGTCTTATTATGTTGTCCAATAACACTCTAAGTTTGAATTTTTGAATTTTAAAGTATTTCATTGAGTGCCCTATAAAGGGTTAAATATATACATATCTCTGGATTTAGATATATTATTCAGAAGGCATGAAAAACACTGTCTGGAACTGACCCAGCTGTCACTGTATATAAGACAAGGTGCACCCTGCATCTCAAGGTGGGGACAGAATACTATATTTCTAAAACATATTCTACCATTTGGAGTTTTGTTTATAGTAATGGATATTGCTTTTGAACGGATTTGACTAAATTAAGAGTGCTAAAAAAGTTAAACATAGATGTCACAATACTACGATTAATTAAAAACTTCATTGTGTTTGGGATGATTGACATCCTGGGAGACAGTGTTCCTTTCAGATTAAAAATCTACAAAAACATGAAAAAAAAAAAACATCACAAAAAACTGTATGCATATGCAGTGACAGAAAAATGTGTCACCATAAGGTTTCCTGGTTCGAATCACCAGAGGACTGGGGATCATTCTGTGTGAACATATTCTGTCTGTGTGTATGTGGCTTCCCTCTGGTTTCCTCTTACAGTTAAAAACATACATGTTGGGTTAAGTTAAGTCTTTAAATGCGGAGTGAGCATGTGTGTGTGTGTGTGTGTGTGTGTGTGTGTGTGTGTGTGTGTGTGT